CAACCGTTCTTTTTAATCTGGGTGCGTCAAGCCCCGGCGTCGTCTATCCTCACCGCTAGCGCCTTAGCGAGGCGTCAAACCTCTACAAGCCCCAGTGTCCGAATTGTCACTAGTGTCAGATAATTATGATCATGTGATCTTTTATTACCGTTATTTTCTGGCGCGCCCCAGGGCGTCGAAGCCTGGGGTTTCAAAGCTCTAAAAAGAAAGCACCTAATGTCTACGCTGCAACTGTGCGAGCGAAACTTTGATATGACGGTACTTTTCCAGGCAATATCCCTTATAATCAGCAACTTTGAAATATCGTGGGCTATTACAGTGGCGTATGCTTATGGTTAACATTGAAAAGGGGAATTATTGGTATAATAATAACATAGGGTTTTATAATATAACTGGCGACATAATTATTTTCAGTACAGGATTGCAAGAGCACATTCAAAATTTAGAACTAGTATTTTCCAAATTACAAGAGGCAAATTTCAAAATACAACTTGACAAAAGTGAATTTTTAGGAAAAGTTCAATTGTTAGGTCATGTTGTCACAAAAATCAAACCAAACCAAAAAAAAATTTAAGCAGTTTAAAAATTCCCAATACCTAAAACACAACATGATATGAAATATTTCCTTGGACTTTTAGGTTATTACCGCAGATTCGTAGAAAATTTCGCGAAAATAACAAAGCCTTTGACGAAATGTTTGAACAAGAACGCAAAGGTTGAACACACTAAAGAATTTCTGGAGTGTTTCGACACATGCAAGAAAATTCTAACATCAGAACCGGTAGTAGCATACCCCGATTTTTCTGAACCATTCGAATTAACAACAGATGCTTTCAAATTTGCTATAGGAGGAATCCTGTTCCAAGATAATCATCCTATATGTTACGCTTCACGGACATTGAACCTTGCTGAAATAAACTCCTAGCTATCGTATGGAGCTGTAAATATTTCAGACCCTATTCATTTGGTCGTAAATTTATCATCATTACTGGTTGTTCTCAGTGAAATAACCAGAATCCTGTCTTGTTCGTTGGCGACTCAAATTAGAAGAATTTGATTACACTATCCAGTATAAAAAAGGCAAACGCAACCCTGTTGATTTAAATGCTTTAGAAACCGAATCAGTCACCAATAATCCCGGTGATATAAACGACATTATAGAGGATTACCTAAATAATCGGGACAAAATAAAAGAAATAAGTGACACGGAAACTGAATAAATTTCAGGAACACAAAAACAACAAAAAGCTCCAAAAATTAAAATATTATCAGACTTCAGTATCACACCAATTCCGCAAGGTAAGAACTACGAATTTAGAAACAACATAGACGGAAATAATTCCCCAAAGCAAGATAATAATCTTGATATCACAAGTACACCCATAGAAACCCCATCAAAAATACTCACTGTCGATAAAGACAATCAGAAACATTCTTGTTCAGAAACCATTCATACATCGATTGAAAATCCAATTCTAAATATACCAATTTCCGAAAGATACATAAATACTTTCAAAAATGAAATTATTATCACTTCAGGTGATATAGAAAAAATGCGATGCAAGCAAGAGTAAATTTTCGGAAATAATCGTCCAGGGCGCCCTGGATCACGAATTTGAAATATAAACAACTGTTCTTTTGAATCTGGGCGTCAAGCTCCGGGGTCGTCTATCCCTACCGCTAGCGCCTTAGCGAGGTGTCAAAGCTCTACAGCTCCAGTGTCCGAATTGTCACTAGTTTCAGATAATTATGATCATATGATCCTTAATTACTGTTCTTTCAGAGCGTGCGCTATCGCGCCCCAGGGCGTCGAAGCCTGGGGCTTCAAAGCTCTAAAAAGAAAGCACCTAATGTCTACGCTGCAACTGTGTGGGCGAAACTTTGATATGATGGTACTTTTCCAGGCAATATCCCTTATACTCAGCAACTTTAAAATATCGTGGGCTTTTACACTGGCGTATGCTTATGGTTAACACTGAAAAGGGGAATTATTGGTATAATAATAACATAGGGTTTTATAATATAACTGGCGGGTGCGGTTTTCATTTATTAATCTACGTCGGTGTCATTATGACACATTTAGCATTGTCATTTGAATGCCATTAGGTGCTTCATAATAGCACTAGTGCGTTTAAGAATTCATAAAAACACCCAAATTATGAAATGAAAAATATACAAAAAGAAAGCTAGTTATCAGAAGAACCTTTTCACTGATGCTGTTTGGATATTTGAAGGGACACTTTCGAACTCAGAATCACCAATATTAACATTATTTTCCACTATAAAACTGAGTTTATGGCACAAAAATTGACTCCAATATTGAAGCTGCCAAAGTCAAAATACTAAAAATAAAATCAACAAGCAGGTTCCCGACTAGTACGGGCACCTGCTAAATTTTGAATTTTAATTTGAAAAGTATTTGCTATTTCAAGGCAAATCAAATCTATTTGGACCATCGTAGATTAAATTTTGAATGATACACGTTCGATATAAACTTAATTAATGAAACTTGTGTAACTAAACCACTCGGCTGACGCCTCGTGGTTTAACGTTACACGCGTTTCATTATGGTGTTCATATCGAACTAGTATCATTAATAACTATTATATATATTTTTCTAAGGTCCTTTGCATGCTGCAATTTCCACGCGGCACGCCACAAACCCCCTTCTTACGCCCTTGGTACATTAATAACTACATAACTACAACTTTTTTTTTCTAAAGCTTCAGTCTATCATACGCAAAAAAGACAGAGAAGGTAGACTTGTTGAACCGTCAGAAGCAACGGTACTCGGGAAATTGAATGCCAAGTTATTATTTTTAAAAGAAGTTCCAATAGCACAGAGGCAAATCATATAGATTATGAACGATAGTGCGATGAGGAAGGAACCTTGGTTAACTCGGCATGTTAGGCCTCAACTTTGCAAGAAAAAAAGGCAGACGCCTGAAAAAAAAACGGGAAGAAGAAGATAAACGTTAGCTAGAGCAAAACCGACTCCACAACATTTTGCAACAACAACAAGTCAGAGACGACTTGGAAAAACAAAAGGGACAGAACCGGCTGCAGCAAATTCTGAGAAAACAAGAAGACAAACAAAACAACTGAAAGAAAAGAACAGGGAGAAGAAGACAAACGACGCAAAGCAAACAAGAAAAAAGGAGACAAAAAGATGCTAACAAAATCGCCGGATTTTTCCAGAATTTCCGACATGAGGTCCAACACGAAATGGAAATAATCCGAGAAGTCAGATGCGATATTAGAACGGTCTTTGGCGCTGCAGAAATTTAGCAGTGAATTCAAGAGAATTGCCAGGTCGAGGTTGACATAACCGCCAGCCTCAAAACAATTCCTTAAACAAATAAACGTCCAGTACTGTATCGATGGAGTGAGAGATACGGATTTGCAGCAAGCAGCTAGGCATAACACCCGTGCCGAAACCGTTGTTCATGCACTAAAGTATAAAGCTGCCAAAAACACATCGCAGAACAAAAGAAGCAAAATACGTGAAGTTAGATTTTGAAGCTACAGATAATACTGCAGAAATACTGCAAAAATACTGCGCGAAAGAAGATCTCGAGCCAAGATCAAGAAAACCAATAAAGTGTTACAGCTGTGGCTAAGAAAAACATAAACAAAACCAGGCGACATTTCCGTTCAGGAAACTGCGATATGCAGGTAGAAGTTGGCTCTAGAAATCAGGGGAACGCCACCTTGCCAGTGTAAGGTTGCAAACGCCGGCGACCCTAAATTACGGGTGTTCTCTATCAAAAAAAAAAATTATGGAAGTTTCGTTGTCGGAAGCCCCTCGACAGCAAGAAATGTGATTCAATTATTGAAACAGGGGCATCAAGATTAGTGGTAGGCTCCGACAAGGTTTAAAAGACAAACCTTCGTTTTCCTATCCGTTGATTTTAGAAATACAATGCTGAGAGGGGGCGACGAAGAAATACTTTTTTGCCACCTTCAAATAGGGACTTTGCTTCTTCTTCTTCCCAGCCGTTCTCTATCCTCTGGATATAGGCCTCTCTGCGGTACCAATTTACTCCTGCTGTTCGCTTGATGTCGTCGTACCAGCGTTGTTGAGTTGAGGCCTGCCGACGCTTCTTTTTTTCCCCCCAGGGTCTCAATCTTGTTACTTTTCCGCTCCAGTTGTTCCTTGTGTTTTTCGCTACGTGGCCAGCCCAGTTCCAAATGTTTAATGTCTTCGACCTTTGTTGTGTTTCTTATCCACTCTTTCTGATGTACTTGCAACTTACTATTTAGGATTTTCTTTATACGCTTGCATGTTTCGCTTCATAGGCAACTACTGGCAGAATACATTCATTGTAGACTTTAGTTCTCAGCTTCAAAAGTATCTCGGACCAGAATATGTGGCGCATTTTACCATTAGTCGCCCATCCCAGCCGTATTTTCCTAATAATTTCAAACTGTTGATTGACATTGCCAAGTGTTATTTCCTGTGCGTGATACTTGTAGGAGTTTATTTTTTTCACTTATTCGTTTTCTATGGATATTGTGCCCTATCTGTTTGCTCATATTGTCATAAACTCTGTTTTTGATACGTTCATTTCCAATCTGATCTTCTTAGCTTTCGTTCGGGGCGAATATTACGATGTCATCAGCGAATTATTGAGGTTTTTGTCCAGATATGTTTGTTGCTTACCTAGAATATCTTTAAATGTATCCTGGTTCGAAAGACGAGATTATTTCTTAGGAGAAATTAAGACAGACTCTCAACTTTCTGACTAATATATTGACAACTCTATTATTAAATTATATAAATGTTACTGGTAAACTGGTAAAGGTAAAAATGAAAAAATAGGTAAAATAAAAATATTAATTAATAATATTGTTGTCAATATATTAGTCAGAAATTTGAGAGTCTGTCTTAATTTCTCCTAAGAAATAATCTCGTCTTTCGAACCAGGATACATTTAAAGATATTCTAGGTAAGCAACAATACTTGGTCCTTCGAAGCTATTTACGATAAAGCCAACACTATGAAATCACAGAAGTCTGAAGCTTCCCGGAAAAGTAAGAGACTAGCAGAGAAGATGACAGCCAAAGCTAAGTCCGACGGTAGTCTAAATGAAAACACGGTTTCTTCTAAGGGATCAAAAGCAAAGTCTGACGTCTATGAATCCCTGAATGCCGACAGCAAGAAGAAAAACTGTGAGAACCGAAGTTCAAGCAATAAAACGGCAGCATCAGCTAGAACTGCTAGAAGCAATATTTCGCGGAGAAGGAAAGAGGCTGAAATCGAAGCAAAAATCAAGAAGACAGCTTTAGAGCAAGAAATGTTAAAGAAACAACAAGAAATGGTTGATCTGGAACTTGCAAGAAAGCTAGTATTAATTGAAGAGTGTGATGAAAAGGAGTTTGGTGATTCTGGAGAAGATGAATGTGAGTCAGTGGTAAGTTACAAAGCAAATATCCAAAAATGGGTTCATGATGGAAATTGTCCATGGAACGACAAAGAAACCAAATTCCAAGACAGTCTTCAAGTAGAAACGTCCCAGGTACGTGATTTATCTACATTTAATCAGGGTCAGCCAGTTTATTCTATGCCCAGGAATAATATTCATTTTGACCAACAAGAAAATTCTAATATTGTTAAAGTTTTGACCAGGCAATCAATTCCTAAAGAACTTCCTATATTTTCTGGTGATCCTTCAGAATGGCCTAATTTTGTCCACCAATATAGACATTCAACAACTATTTGTGGTTATTCAGATGAAGAAAATCAATTAAGATTGCAAAAATGTCTGAAAGGTAATGCAAAACGTATTGTGCAATCTTTATTAATTTTACCAAATAATGTTGACAAAGTAATTGCACTTTTGGAAAGTCGTTTTGGTCGTCCAGAACATATAATTGCTATTTTATTACAAAATGTTAGGAAATTGCCTTATATTAAAGAAGATAAATTAGATTTGTTCATAAATTTTGCTGATGAAGTTAAAAATCTTGTTGCAACACTTGAAACTCTACAAGAAGACGATCATTTGCGAAATCCTTTGTTATTACAAGAACTTTTGTACAAGCTTCCCACATCCTTTAAACTTAACTGGGTGGAGCATATTACTGAAATAAAGAAGTCAAGAAAAATCGTTCAATTAATTGAATTTTCTTTGTGGCTTGACAAAAAATCAAACGCAGCTTGTCAACTTCAAATTCCAAAATTTGACGCAACATATAACCATCATATAACCACCATAATAATGATGACAGAACTGGTTTTCGTCAGGGTAGAAAAAGTTATACCTTAACTACCAACCAGGTAAATGCAAAAAAGACTTGCATTTGCTGCCACAAAGACGTTCACAAGTTGAATACGTGCTCCAAATTTAAATCTTTTAATATTGAAGAAAGATGGTCTTTTGTTACAAAAAATAAAATTTGTTTTTCTTGTCTTATTCCATTCCACAACATAAAAACTTGTAAAAATAGACATATTTGTACTATTAAGGGGTGTAAAAGGCCACACCATGAGCTTTTGCACAAAAATGATAGTGCAAATACGAACACTCAGGTAAATGAGCATGCCTCTGAAATTAATTGCCACATTCTAACAGACAAAAGAGTTTTATTAAAGATAATACCTGTTATTCTATTTAATGGTGATATTAAAATTAATACCTTTGCTCTTTTGGATGATGCTTCCACGGTCACACTGATTGATCAGGATCTAGCTGATGATTTATGTCTCTCTGGTCCCCAATCTTCATTATGTTTGCAGTGGACTAATAATCAAACAAAAGAACAAGACGATTCTAGGGTAGTTTGTCTTAAAATTTCATCTCAAGAAAATCACGATCGACATTTTTATTTACGTCATGCTAGAACCATAAAAGGACTTTCTCTTCCAAAACAAAGCATTAATATCGAGTCTATGAATAAATACCCATATATTGGTAATAAAGTTGATAGGATTCAATCAATGAATGAGGCTCAACCAAGAATTTTAATTGGGCAAGATAACTGGCCATTATTGGTGAGTAGGGAGGTTATACCAGGACCATGGCATGGACCCGTATTGAGTCGTACTCTTTTAGGATGGGTTATTCATGGGAATTATAGTCTTCGTCAAAATTCTACTTCCAAACAGTTTGTTTGTCACATCGATTTCAAAGTCAAAGATGAATTGGATTTATTGCATGATTTGGTCAAATCTCAATGGAAAATTGACACAATATTTGATTCAGATAGAAGGGCTGTTTCAAAGGAAGATATCCGAGCGCAGGCCATTTTGGATGCAACAATGCATAGGGTTGGCGATCGATTTGAAACAGGACTAATTTGGAGAGACAAAAATATTGTTTTACCTGAGAGTAAGGTCAACGCCATGCAACGTCTTCGATGTACTGAGAGAAAAATGGACAAAAACCCAGAATTTGCAAAAGCATATTGCAACAAAATTGAAGACATGGAAAATAAAGGATACATTAGACAACTGACTAAAGAAGAATTGAAATTTCCCAACGATAAAGAATGGTATTTACCTCATTTTGGCATTATTAATCCAATTAAGAAAAAACTTAGAATAGTTTTTGATGCATCTGCAAAATCTAATTGTATGTGTTTAAATGATTTTCTTTTGACTGGTCCAGACTTATACAATTCATTGCATAGTATTCTGCTTAATTTTAGAATAAGAAAATATGCGTTTACTGCTGATATCAAAGAAATGTTTTTACAGGTATTAGTAAGAAAAGAAGATCGCGCAGCTCAAAGGATACTATACAGAGGAATGAATAGAAGACAAGAACCAGAAGTCTATGAAATAAATGTTGTGTTTTTTGGCTCAACAAGTGGTCCTTGTTTAGCGCAGGAAGCCAAGAATAAAAACGCTCGTGAGTTTATTCATAGTCATCCTAGGGCAGTCAATGATATTCTATACAACCATTACATGGACGATTAATTTTTGTTTTAAGACTAAATTTGAAAAATTAAATAAAGACCTTCTAGACAAAAAGAAAAGACCAACCAAAAGAGAAATGTTGAAAGTTGTTATGTCCATATTTGACCCTTTAGGATTTTTATCAAATTTCATTGTGCAAGGTAAAATTTTACTACAAGAAGTATGGAAAAGTAAAATTGGATGGGACGATGAAATCAGTGACAGACTAAATTCTAAATGGGAAATTTGGATTGACGGGCTTCAAAAAATTTCAAATTTCAAACTGCCTCGACAGTTTTGTCAATTAAACAGGGAAAAAAGTATAATTCAGCTGCATATTTTCTGTGACGCCTCAGAGAGCGCTTATGCGAGCGTGGCATATCTTCGGTGGGAGGAAGGAAATATAGTGAAAATCAGTTTTTTAACTTCAAAAACCCGTGTTGCTCCACTAAAACCGATGTCTATTCCTCGCCTGGAACTTCAAGCTGCTCTAGCTGGAGCAAGACTAGGATCAAATGTTAAGAAAACATTACAATTGAAAATATCAAACAGTTTTTATTGGTCTGATTCCAAAACGGTTCTTTATTGGATTAGATCAGAAACTCGCCGCTTCAAAGTATTTGTAGCTCAAAGAGTTGGTGAAATACAAGAGCGGACAAATATTTTTGATTGGAGGTATGTGAATTCTAAACGAAATATCGCAGATGACGCTACCAAACTAACGACCGAATATGATTTTTTCCCCGAAAACAAATGGTTAAGTGGCCCTTCGTTTTTGTTAAAGTCAAGAGAGCATTGGCCAAAAGAAACATCAGAAAATTTAAATAAAATTGATTTAGAAGAAAAAGAATTTATTTTTGTAAATTTTACCATTGAGGAATTTATTGTACCAGAAGTTGAAAGATTTTCTAAATGGACCAGGTTGTTAAGAGCAACAGCCTGAATTCTGAGATATGTCCAGATCTTTAATTATTCTCATAAACAGTTTGTATATCTGAGGCAAGATGGGTCTATAGTCTCCAAGATTTGATGGGTCTCTTTTTTTGTATATCAGAACGACGATGGTAGTCTCTCAGTCGTGTGGTATTTTCCCCTCTGTTAGATATTTATTGAAAAGTGTTTCCAGTTGTTTCACAAGGTATTCTGCCTCCTTCGGCATTTCTGGTAGTACATCGTCCATTCCTGGGGCTTTTCCGTTGTTCAATTGGCTTAACGCTTTTGCAATTTTTTCCTCTTCAATATAACAGGGATCTCTTCTGACCCAACATTTAGAATTTTGGATGTTTTCCTTTCGGTTTCTTGTTTGTTATTTTCGTTGTCGCTTTTTGCGTCGCATTGCTTCTTAAAGAAGTTTTCCGCCACACGCAATATGTATTCCATTTCAGGGGTCAATTCTTGAATATTCTCGCATACGGAAGTTGATTCGAATCAGTGTTGCCAACCGCTGGGTAATTACCCAATTTTTGGGTATTTTTTTCCTCAAAATCCTTATTTGAATTGGGTGAAAAAAAGTTTTAAGGTCATATTTGGGTAATTTGATATGAACATTAATCATCAAACTTCGGCTTTCGTCCATGCCATAACGTGATGCGTTTCACACATTGAACATTATGAACTCAACCAACGAACCAACCAACCTAAAGAACATGCGACCCAATCTCTTTTTTACTTAATTCATCTTTTTGAAATTCAGATAGCGCTGTTTTGTTACAGCGCTCTTTTGTGCAGCGCTTTTTTGTGCAGCGCTGTTTTGTTACAGCGCCCTTTTGTTACAGCGCTCTTTTGTGCAGCGCTCTTTTGTTACAGCGCCCTTTTGTTACAGCGCTCTTTTGTGCAGCGCTCTTTTGTTACAGCGCTCTTTTGTGCTGCGCTGTTTTGTTACAGCGCTTTTTTGTTACAGCGCTGTTTTGTTACAGCGCTCTTTTGTTGCAGCGCTCTTTTGTGCAGCGCTCTTTTGTGCAGCGCTCTTTTGTTATAGCGCTCTTTTGTTACAGCGCTCTTTTGTTACAGCGCTGTTTTGTTACAGCGCTCTTTTGTGCAGCGCTCTCTCGTTCCAGAGCCGCTAAGAACATCAAAAAGAAAAATTGTTTGATTAAAAAATAAATGAAAACTCAACTATCAAACGTTGATATTGAACTATCAAACCTCGCACAGTCGTGACGAATCATTTTAAAAAAATTATAATAATTTTTGATGAAGTGGGGGGAGGCTGACAATACGCAAAAAAAAAGAATTGGTGATTACACTGCAAAAATCGCTATCAAACGATCTATCAGGACTATCAATCACTATCAAACGATTTTCAAACGATTGAGAGTGAAAAAAGTCAAAAAATCCAATTTGGGGGGGCTAAGTTTACAGAGGTGGTATTTGGGTATTTTTATTTGGCAAAATAAGTATTTCAATTCCAAAAGGTTGCCAACACTGAATTCGAATGACATGACAGCAGCGTAAATTGAATAGGGAACGTTCGAAATCATATCAAGTTTCGTATGCGAGATTTTGCAAGAATTGGGTACCTGTCTTCTATAATGTTTCCTTGTTTCTCCATCAGCTTTGTAATTTCTCTTTTGTGTGCGTTCTCCCGTTCCATAACGTTTGTTCAAGTCTTTTTGGCGCTCTATCGGTTTTTCGATTTGTGTTTCTTGGTAGTTTTTTATATGTTGTTTTGTTGTCCTTCTGGCTATTTTGTTAGTCTCTCTGTATTCTGATGTATCTTTTTTTTTTGTTTTATGACCTCTCTTCTCCAGCATTTGTTCTGTTTCTTTCCTAAATTTTGTTGGCCTACCCTTCGGTTTCTTGATATTTTTTGCTCTTTCTTCTATTGTTTCTGTTATTCTTTCATTAATTTGTTTTATGTCTTCGTGAGGCTTATGTTGTTTTTCTCCAGTTAATTTTGTTGCGAATTATGTTTTTTGTGTTTAACTGATATGTGTGCTTACTTTCTTTTGGGGGCCGTTGAATTTCTTTGCTCTTTCTACTCTGCCATTTATTGCCATTTCACATCTTAGCATTCCAGCGGTTATCTAGTTAGCTGTCGGTTAACTAATGATAATTACTAGTTGTTTGACAGCTAAACTAAATAACCGTTCACTGATAAACCGCTCCTAATACTACGAAAGCCCATGATACTAAAGCCTCAGTCATCTGTTAGAAGGCCGTTTTTTTGGTGGCCCGGTAGCGTAGTTAATACTATCTGTACTATCATGCAGCACCGATCTGCTCTATAAAACCGTAGGCTTTGTAATACGAAATACCGCGTTGCTTAACATGCTATTATGCGAGATATTTCGTTCCTAACAATAGGACATCTGTTTACTTCCTACATATAATATTTGGAAAATGCAAAATTTAATTATTTTTAGATTGAACATAAACACAGCCATCAAATAGAAGTCGCTGAGGCATTTAGTTATTTGCGTCTGACAAATGAAACGGAAGAACTATTTTCGACATATTTTAACGAAGGGAGGACACCATCTTGTGCTAAATTGTACCAAGAATTAACACTTGAGCAAAGTGAAAATAACGGAAATTTCATTGTGACCTATTGCATAGAACGTAAATTATCCGTGTACTCGCATTAAGTATACTTAGGAGCTCCGACACGTGTAGTTGCTGATTTACTACCTATACCATGATGTAGACCTTACTCGTGCTGTATATTAGTACAGTTGGAAATGATAAGCAATGCGGTGTTTCGTATTACAAAGCCTACTGTTTTACAGATCGGTTCTGTATAATAGTACAGATAGTAATTACGCGGTCCAGTATGCGTTTGCTGCACCAGTGTACGTTTTTACATTGGATATATGCGGCACAAGTCTCCCTGCGGTATTTACTTCATATCGCAAGCAACATGTTGCATGTTTGCTGTTTCCTTTGTGTACGACCGCACTTATCATCCCTTTGTAAAATAGGACGTGATTTGATTTAAGTCTAAAACATTCTTCTCTTCTTCTGACTCCTGCCAGTCCTACTATGTCTCAATTTATTATATCTAGTTCGTAATTTGGTTCCTGTAACATTTCATTTTTCAAGGTCCTTGCGTTGTATGTTCCGATGTATAGCTGACAGCCTGGTTCACTACAGCGATTCTTAGGGACTATCAAGTTGAAATCATTTTCAACGAAGATACACAAATTCTATGTGATAGCTTGATCGTTAATGCACCATCCAGAAAAACAGATAGGAGTCGTGAAAATCATATGGTAGAACCAACCAGAACCAAGCCAAAACAGGCAGAGAGAAGATCTTGTGGCATACTATTCAGACAAAACCAACAACGTTATTCCAGTGAGGATAGCCAATCTATCGATAAATCACACCACATTGAAAAAAAGAGTTGTGCACCAACTATCCGAGTACGAGTAGCGAGATGCGAAAAAGACGAGCCTATGTGTTATGTCCGTGGTAGGAATAACACTCAGTACAGCAACAGGATCAACACTATTTTATGTACCTAACTCTTTATTTTCTAAAGGAACAAGAATACATAACGATGAATACATTGAAACTGATTAAACGTGTTATAAAAAATAAGGTTCAAAACCATGATAACTAGCAAACATAATATGACAACTATGAAAACAAATGACAACTAGGAAAATATATGACAAGTCGGAGAACATCCCTTCTTGTCAAGCGTGTCTTCTTTTTTATTGTATTTCCAGTGTTGCCACTGTTGAAAGTCCGATACACAACACTATATCAAATGGAGTTAATTTACTTTTACAAGCTGATGTAGCATTTCAAAAAGAGCTGGAATCATTCAAGTCGACAATAAAGAAAGAAAGCCATTGATTTCGTGGAAAAGAAACCTGATAATATATTTGCGCCTCAAAAGATTACTGGGAATAAATGTCTATGTTTGAGGTGGATTTATAATATTACCTTGCATTTTTTGGGAATTACATCTCAATTGAAATTTTCACCAGCAGTTTCTTGATCTTTGATCTTGAAAATAATTACTACACGCTATTAGATGATAAGAGTCTATTTTGCCTATCAAATTATTTTTATAGAATAAAATATTCTTTGCATCGAGTTCTCTAAACTACCTTGCTTTTGACAATAACCATTAAATTAATTAGAAAGGAACTTATAAAATAAAAGAGAGTGCATTATTATAAGGGCAAATGTGTTGCTTAATGCTCAACAGCATTTAGCAACACTTGGCTTCCTTTGCTTGAATCGATTAATTCTTATGTTTTTGAAATGTTAGTGCAGCGGAATCTTTAAGTATTTTTTCTCGGAAACCAATGGTCCTAACGATCTGCAACAAACCCTTTTCCGTGTGAAAAGTACATCTTAGTAAACTAGCTCAAGAATATGTATCTACTCTATAAAAAAAACTTAGTTACCCATTGAAAAACATAACTACTAACCTCACTTTCTTTTCTATTCAAACGAAACCGCGAAAATATGTAACGCTTTGATGAATAATAATTAAAGCCCTAAAGGCAACTATCAAATAAGCCTTCTTGCAAAAGTAACTTCCTCCATATAGTATAATATAGGATGTATGTAAATTCATAGCCTAGTTCTACCGAAAATGTGCATAACAAATTTTCTAGAAACGCAAAAATATGTACTACGTTTCTCATAAAGTGTGCCGATGCATTTTTCAAGAGAAAAAGAGGTAGAGCTCACTTATAAAGCGCAAGAACTTTTCTAAATTGCCGTATGTGTCACGTTCAGACCTCTACCCAAAATAGAAGACGTACCTATCAACTTTAAAAATCGACTTCATTCCGATGCTGAGAAAGAAACTTATTCACGGAATTTCATAACGTGAAATTCGAAATTTGTTTTTAACGAAAAAAAAAAAAATCTAATAAACTTTTAGTTCGTGTAACAAATTGAATTTATAAAACAAGAGTGCCGCCAAAAAAAAAAAATGTCAGGCACGCACTGGAATTAAATTAATTTCATATTCAGAAAAAGCAAATTTACAGCATGAATATATTAAAAAAATATAAAGTTTAATAAAAAGATAGGTGTTGTTCGGATGTTATTAAAATAGTTGAATGTAAGCATTTTCTTTACAGTTTCTATTTGAATAGAGTACGTGCTTTTATTCTCTCCTGTGCAAGAGCAGATATGAATACTTATTTGAAGTTACCATATTAGATTTTAATATTACACAACAGAAATGTGTGTTTGTAGATATTATTTGAAATTTAATATTACCTATTTCCTTTTTTTATAGTTAACAAAAAACTCGATGAAGAGAGATGTAGAGGGAAAGGAATGATATACCCTTTTAAAAAAATATTATTATTAGGTACTTTTATTTCGTAATATGAGAAAATATTATTCATTTTTTTTATATTCACTTTTTTTTCAAGGTTGACTCAAAAATCCTCCGGATAATGTCAAGGCGATGAAGAAAACGATATTTCAACAATATTTATAACAAGGAAGGTAGGTACCCATTATATTTAAGCCGATTAAAATAACTTCACGGGATAATTGACTAATGGCGAATTCCATTTGTCAATCAGTGCGCACTGAGTGCAGCCGCATCTTTTTCTATAAGCATGTAACATGTAAGGATAAGGATACATTTTTTTTGTACTGATTCGACAAATGGAAATCGCTTTAAGAGAAAAATTAAACATTGACAAATTATTTGATTTGAAAATATCAATAAAGTCTCAAATTTTGTAACCCCTTTTGTTGATGAATTAACAAGAGGCCCATAATATGCTCAGTTTGCTCAGCGAATAATTAATAGGGGTGGGTCAATAGTTTAATAAGTACAGAATGGCAAGGGCGTCACTGAATTTGGAAAATAAAATAAATAATTAAATTACATAAAATATTGAAGTGTGAAAATGCAGAAACACACCTAAAAAATAATAATCTGCAACCGGTAATAGATAATTCTGAAAAGGAAATAAATAAGGCATAAAACTCAACCAAACCTTGACATAGGTAAAACCAATACAACAATTTAGCAATTTTCAAATCAAAATGGTTAATATTTCACAGCGAGGTTAAAAATCAAGAATTAAAAAATTTAGATAAGACCAATTGTTTGTGAAACACTTTGAATAAAATCAATAAGAAGAGGTTAATTCTCAATCATATTCATCAAATTCCAACAATGTACCTCAATATACTTTCCATAAAGGTTCATTTACAGTCGCTGGCTATATCATTATCATGAAATGAAAATATAAAAGATTCAGGTTTCCAGAAAACTATTTAAAAAAAAATTGATGATTGAAAATTGTATTGATAAATATGGTCAGCTTCTGCTTAGAGAATAAATTCAATAAAATCAACTTGCACCTGTATGAAATCAAAAGTTGGGTTAAATGGTCAGGATATATAATGGAAACTCCTCAATTATATAACTTATAGGTAGAACCCAGGTTAAAAATTGATCAATTTTCGACGATGTAGGTACCTTCTCAATAACTCTAAATTAAGAGGATGTTGTCCAACCTTGACTTCAGTTCAGATTATTGATTATGAATAATAAAATTTACATTCCTAAACATGGCAATATTAAAAGTTAAGTGAAGATGAATCTATAATAAATTGGATAAATCGAAAATCCGGAAATTCAATTATTCCACCATCACCTCGGTGTCAGGAATGCGAAAATAAAATTTTAAATATTTAAATGTAATGTCAGTAAATTTTTTATCAATTATGTTAATTGATCATAAAATAGATAATAAGGAAAAAAATAGTTATTTTTGTATCTAGTGCGCGAAATGCCATTTTGGTTTTTTGACGACGCGAAGCGGAGTCAAAAAATCGTTCGAGTTCACCAAAAACATTTCGCGCACGAGTTGCAAACAATGTTTTTTCTACAGACAGAATTGAACTTATTTTGGGTAATATTAAAATTAAATAATTCAAGGAAATTCTATTTCAGAACAGCCTGTTAACTGGTTGCTTCGGATTTTTTTTAACAAATAATGACACTATGACACATTGCTTGTCAAGTTGTTTCCCAAGGTCTGACCGACGCGGAATCAATCCGCCAAAAAATGTTGATTAAAAATAGAAACTGCAGAAGAATTTGTAGTTCCCAATATAATAATACAGCTACTTCTCAAAAAACGATGATGTTCGCACAAAACCGTCAAATAAATAAGTGAAACCGTAATTCTAATGTATTTCGAGGGTGAATCGAAAAAGTTCAATATCCTGCACTTATTCAATTTGAGTGGGTAGGTACCCCAAAAAATGTGGGGTTTTTCCTGATATTTACACTTTGTCGTTAAATTTTCTTCCATTTATGTATTTTTAAAATATCACCACTGAGCGTGCATGAAGTATTTCGTGCCCTAGTGCGCGAAATATTTCGTGCACGTCGTTAAGGTAAATAAAACCAATGTGACATTTTTCGAACGGAAATCAGTGTGAAAATGTCATTATTTTTTGACGTCTGTAGAAAAAATATATTAAAAGGTATTAATGAAACTTTATTTACGACTGACATATAAATATAAATATAATATTTGTGATTTTGGCAGTATAATGCCATATATTATTCCCGCAGGGATTAATGGTCATTATTCCCGCTTGCACACCAATCACAAAATTTCTCAAATTAAATAAGTAG